TTTGCATTACCCGTCATCGGCTTCTTGCATTTGATTCGTTTTCACTGCAATCATCGCCCACAAGAGTCTTCGAACACTTCGCGTGTTGTTTCGGCCTCTGCTTGAGGATTTGTTTCCATAAATGTCATAGAATGCTAGTCGAGTCGGTTCTCCTTGTAATGTTGAAGATAGCCGAGCTAAGACGTCTTCACTTGGATTGGAGGAGAGCGTTAGGTAGGTATCGGATAAGCACCTTGCTTCCTGGTGGACTCCAGCATTCCCTTTCCGGGAAGAGTAGACGAGAGTTCGAATCTCAGCTGAGGTTACGAGCCTTGCTCCTATCTCAGCAACATTGTGATTGACTCGACACATCAGTAGAAAGTTCAGAAACCTTTACAATGCTTTACGAATGGAGTGGAATGCATAAAGCATTTCCGGGCCAAAAACTGGCCTGGGGTTCTAACTTTTGCAAATAGCTCGGCATCATTGTAGTTGCATTCCACATAGTAATTTGCCATGAGAAATAGAAGAGCAGTGAATAAAAAATTTAAACATTATATTCACATGTCCTGTTTTAAGGTGAACAATCCTCACTACGATAAACTATTAGAAGCAGGGGAGAACAAGAAGAGAGTACACGCCGCTTGTGCAGCTGCTAGACAGTTTCTTGTTGAGGTATGTCCATTTGCTCTTGGATACTAAACTGTTTCGCTGACCAATTGTAGACTTAATATACGGCAAATGGAAACCGTTTGGTGCTTTATCATTATCAGTCAGTGCCCCGCTCGCAATGGCCTACATCTCACTTAACTTGCCGAAATTTCTTGAAATCTAATCTCCCTCGCCTGTGGTCCAACACTTTATTTACGTGGACAGCGAAAATCATTTGTAGTAGAATGAATAGCTTTTGAGAGCTAAAACTTTATACTCCGCCCCGAACCGGGTGGGCGTGCTGCAGAAGTGAGAGGTTCAATCCCACGCTCCGACCCACTAAGCATTCCATCCCTCTCGGGTCTTCAAGTTGGTACGAGACTTGTCTAGGTGGATAGCAACACTGGTCCGATACATCTGTAGACCACCGTGAGTTATTGGGTAGGCTAGATATGCATTCAATCATCTGTAATGCCGGAGGAAGTCGAGTGTATGGCGCATTCCTCAAGGATTGATAGATATCGCGAAAAGCGCTTTTTTATTCTGCTTTGATAATCGATAATAATAGAGCTAGAAGCCGTCATCCAATATCCATATACATAATGGAGCAGTACGTAAATCAACAAGTATCTGAGGAATGGATATAGTCAGATTGTGACCAATTGTAGACGCTACTTTAGCTTACTGCTCTGGTAAATTTGATGGCGGCCATAGTACGGATATCTCATGATTGCAGGCAAAAGCGTGTGCAGCTGCTAAATAAAATGCCAATAATGAGAACTGAAGACAAATCCATAAGAGCTTGTCGAGCCGTTACCCAGTCTCATCACCGTTTATGAATAAGGGTTGTAAAACGCAACGAAGTGAATGGAGAAAGAGCAGAAACCTGGTTGGCATGTGAACACCGCGCATCTTGGTGTTGATTAGTTATATTAAGCTTGATGGTCACGTAGTGCTCCTATGTTTTACTACATTTATAAGTTTGTTATTAAGAGAAAAAGCTGATTTCTATCTATTTTAAGCACTCGGTGGCAAGCAATCCATTTCGTCCATCATCACATAAAACTCACGGTGTTCATGGCGTTCAACCGAAACATGATGTGGTAGATCTTTCACACAAAGATGACCACGGCAACATTCAACACCGACACGGTACGTTTTACAACATGAGAGTGGACATAGGTAGTTTTGGTGCGACCGGTCTTGTATTAGAGTTTTTGCAAATCATGAAATAACAACAATAATAACGTTAAGTATTGACAATAACAAGCGGTGATAACATAATTGAGAAATAAAGTCGATAGCATGAAGACAAAGGTGGGAACTGAAAAAAGGCTTTTCTCTTAAATGTTCTCATGTTCTGATATATATGGTTGCATACTGGGAGAGAAATCTTAGGTGCATGAAAGTGGCTACCTACTGAATGAGATTCCTTTCAATTTTATGAAGTCTTAACCTTTATTTACACTTACCATCCGGCGGCTTACCGTCTCATCGTGGTTGGGAGGTGTTCTTGGGTTCTTGGGTATCGGGGTGCGATGTACAACTAGCGGATTCATCCCCCCTCCCAGCAAGGTCTCACAGGCTGAGAAAGAGTTCGGCGTTTCGATAAGAACGGCCAGCTAAGAGCAAACCAGCAAACCAATATCGAGATCCGCCACCATCCTGGTACCAAACTAGCCTCATGGTGGCATATCTTCCTCTGATTCACAAGGCGACGACTGTCTGTTGTGGTGACGGCCTAGGGAAGACTTTGGTTAGGCTGACCTTGGAGACCTTGGGACTGCTGAGAACCACGATGGGTAAACCAGCAGAACTCATTAAAGTGGAAATTATTCTGGTGCCCTCAAAACCAGCGATGGCAGACCACTCAAGTAACTAAGTGAGCGCTTGTATTTACAGTCAGTTTGTACTACTTGCACAAATGACTAATGAAATGGTCATACCGCCACATAGTTTAAACTGCCGAAAGAAGAAGAAAAGAGTTTCTAATGTTACTTGATATTCATACTTTTTAAAATTTTCAGCAGTTGTTGATAATTCCAATCACGTTTTACTAACAAATCCTTCAAATAATTTTATTCTTACATAAAATTCTAATCGTGGCGCGTGCGGCGCAGTGGTCAGTGGCGCCCTGCAACACACACGCACACACACCAACACACACACACCGACACACACACGTGGAATCTATCGCCGCACCCGTGGGTCACCAAGCCTTCTATATCCCCGGGGTCGGCAAATTGGTAGCAGACTCGTTTGGGAGGATAGCAAGATTGGTGCGATACATTAGTAGGCCACCGCGAGTCATTGTAAAGGTCAGAAAGAAATTCAATCATCTCTAACGATGCTTCATGAAGTCGAATGCATGAAGCATCCCTCAGGGATTGATCAACACCGACAGCTTTATCCTTTGTCCTTTAACGATTATATGTTTTCGTCTTCACGTGAGCCGACGATAATGCCAATCTAAGGTAATTTGTATTCTTTTTTAATTTCAGCAGCATGCGTTCTCCGTCCTGGTGGTCTTTTAAGTTCAAGCAGTACCAGTTCATCAAACGTAACGTCTAGTTCCAGTTATGTGAGTTATCGATCCGGCCACGCGCGTTTGTGATCTACATCATATGCAACTTGTAGTCGAAAAGTAACTGAATGCACAACAGCAGATTCTTCATAAAGATAATCTAACGACACTTGTATTTCAATCGCTGAAAATGCTTTCTTTCTTAACCTTTTATTTGCTGCCTGCTAAAATTTTTCAGCGACAGACGAAACAAAGGATCTGCATCGTGTGGTGGTGAACGCTTTAGCACCCTGAAAAGGTGATAGTGCGTTCGTTCTCCACTGCGGTCCGGAGTTTTCAAAATATCTCAGCATCATTATAGTTGTATTTGTAGCTTGTTTTGCTTTAGTTTTTTAGTAGTTTTTATAACAGTTCAACTTCAGATACAGGTCACATCCTCGAGCAGTTCGCATGTAAATTCGACGGATAGAAGAAACCGTCGAAATAAGAAATGAATATTGTCAGAACTGAGATAGACAGTTACCTAGTTGAACTTGTATTTTAAATGCGTAACATGACGCCTCAAGCGTTAAATGAATAAGTAAACGGATGTTTTCGAATTAAATAAAATCGATGTTTTGGGTAACGCAGAGGTTAGAGGTGCCCTTCAATACACACGGGTTCAATCTCGCGTCCCAGGCTCATACATCAAGCCTTACATCCCTCCGGGGTTGGCAGAGTTGGGCCAGCGTGCCTGTAAGGAAAGCAGCATTGACTCGATACATCGGAAGGTCATCGTAAGTTACTGTATAGGCCAGATTTGCATTTAATTACCTCTAATGCTGGAGGAAGTTGAATACATAGCATATCCCTCAGGGACTGATCGAAACCGAGAGCTTTTTTCTTGCTCTGCTTTGGTATTTGGTAGTAGTGCAACTAGAAGTCGGTTTCTAATATCTATATACCTAATTGAACAGTAAAAAAGGATAAAGCCCTCGGCGATAAATCCCTAGAAGATGTGTCACGCATTAGAGTTCACTAACCATCGTTAGCGATTGAAATTGAATGCATATCTGGCCTTTACAATGACTCAACGTGGCCTATCGATGTATCGAGCCAGTGCAGCTATCTTCTCAGACAAGTCTGGTACCAATTTGCCGACCCGGAGGGATGAATGGCTTGCTGGGCCTGAGGTGCTGGATCGACCCTTGTGTATTGCAGGGCGCCCCGACCACTGCGCAACACGGCCCCTTAGTCGACTAGTATGCAAATTGATAAGGATCTGAGGAGTGGATATGATCGGACTATGACCGATTGTAGACTGACCGAGTTCGACTTTAGTCGTCGTATGAAGACAAGGAACTTTCATCGAATCTGAGTAACGCTATATAACGTTATATGAGGTGGAGAATTGACGTACGCTCATCATCGTAACATTCTTCTTTACCTCTTCATACAATAACTCTAAAATAACGCCTTTTTATTAAAAACTGCTGTTTGTAGAAGTGACCTACTACAGATATTGGATGTGCTGCTGTTTCGACGCTGCGCTCTAGGTCACCAAACTCGCCATCTCTCCGGGAGCGATGAATTGGTAGCGGGTTGCTAAACCACCGAACGTCATCGTATAAGCCAGATATGCATTCAGTAATCTCTGCAATACTTGACGAAGTCGAGTACAGGGCACATCACTTCGGAATTGTTCATCGCCGAAAATTTTATTCTTTATCCTTTTCCACTAAGTTCATCCTTATTGATGTTCCCACACAATTTTCTTTATTTTTTTTCTATCCACCTTCTTCGCTGTTCCTTAATAAAACAATCAAATGTAGTCAATAACAAATTCATAAATATTAGTCGATTTCAATTATATCTGGGACTTTTCTTGTCTCATACGCTTAAAATTAGTGATAAGAGATTCTCGTGCAGTTGGAACGTGTTCCAATTTCTCCAGCAATGAAGTGTCAAGAGAGCAGTTCCCTTTGGTGGCGAGAAGAATCTGTCCACGCTCTGTTGAAACTCCGATCGGCTGTGGATCTACTGCCGGGTCGACAATCTGTATCAATCTATCTTAACAAAAATTTTAGAAAAATGTTAAAATTGATTATCAGCTTATCTCTGTTGATGGTTTCTCACGCCATCGCTACATTGGATCTTACTAAATGTCAGCTAAAAGCTAAAAGTAGTTAAAAGCCGATCAACTACGAAGTGTTAAACTTCTATCAAAGCTCGGCTAACAGCAAACTAACGATTGGAATTGCCGCCATTCTCGAAGAACCTTTGCTGAAATATGCAGATCCTTTTTCGATCCACAAAAGCTGGCAACTACATATGGTAATAGGCATGAGGATGAGGGTACCTATCGAGCCTGCTATTAATCGAATCGGAACGATGCTAGCGATAGTCGTCGAAGTCACACTATGCAATTTTTTAAAGTGTACTTTTCCAAGCGAGTAAAAAACAGCAATTACTTTCCTTAAGTGTTTAAAGATTCAATTCGAATTCGCTAAGTCTGAAAGGCAAGGATGTGGAGCAACTTGCGCTTTATCCTGATGTGCAGGTCATCCAGCAAACAAAATTAAGCTAGAGATGTAATGACGATCTTCCATGTTTTTCTTTCAACAAGCCAATCGGTTCGATCAAACCCGAACTTAGATAGATTTTTACCTACAGTACGAGGTCTGTCCCTACAAGAGTTAGCACGAGCATTTCCTTTTAAAGAATCGGCGGTACTCATCTGACGGCTAAGTTTCTCCTTATTTCTTATATGATCCTTTTATGATGGTGACATGAAAGAAAAAAGGAACAAACGTCTTTGTAGAGTTGCACAATCTCGTAGAGACTAATCGGACCCGGATTGACAAGATTAAGATTTCCACCAAATCTCTTCTCCATTAACGACACCATAGCCTCGAAACAATCCGGAAGTATGGATATCGACACTGGGAGATCAAAAAGTTCCCTGAACTGGTCGATACGCTTTCTTTGAAAAAAAAATCAATATTTGCATAAAAATTTTCGGAATTCCGAAGAAGTTTCTTCTTTAATTTTTGTCATTTGCGGCGTAATTACTACAAGTTTGGGTATAAAACATTGTTCATGAAAGAGTCCGTAAGTACTATAAAGTACTAAACTTCTTAGTAGTACTGAAAGTACCATGCTTTCGCTAACCTAAGTCTAAGCCTGAGATGATCACACTTAAGCGTAAACCTAAACGTAATCCTTAAGCATTGCCATTTTCTTAATGACTTTTTTCTTCACACTCACTTATAGTTAATGATTTTTGAAAGGAGATTCCTAGGCTGACTGGGATCAAAGGTTAGAGGTAGTGTGATTCTGGCGTTCATGGTCTCCCATCCTTTCTCGTTAAAATGCGACATTTGACGATCGGTGAAGCCTTTAACTACCGAATACGAGGAGCCGAAAAATGTTGGAATATCTGGAAATATAAAGAGAATGGCGGAGAAACTCCGTTATTAAGCTCTTATTACAGCAACTACTTAGGCTAAATACTTCCAAACCACCCACACAAGTTCGTGGAAAGTTGTCGGAAAAAAGGAGACAAACAGATCAATAAGTCAATCCCTTAGATTGTAAAGTATGATAGCAAGTAAGTACTTACACTAAAGACGATAATGGATACATCACCTTTTTCAGTGAATCGTTGACCTCCAACTGGGTGGTCGTCGTCGTAGGAAAAAATATAACCAGTACCCACGTATGTAAAATGAATACCAAGTTTACGGCATAAGTGAGCAAGTACGGTGGCACTGAAGATTATTTAATAGTAACAAGCTTCTTTCCTACTTATCTACTCAAGAAAAGTGGATTGCTTCCAAAATAAGGTTATAAGTGCATGTTTTGTACAAAGCCACTTCAAATCTCCAAATGCTTTAACTAATATGAACCAGCGTCATGGACCTGCTTCATACGAAGTGTAACAGGCCAGTTACGCGACTAATCTTGAAGAAGGGACGGATAGCGGGTTAAACTTGGATCGAATGTGCCAATGTAGTTGGTGGGAGAGTTGTGGAGGTGAGCTACTTGTCAATGTTTATACGGATTGCAGGCAAACTCTTCTCCATGATCATCCATGCATGAATATCCTTGTTTGCGAGGGGATTTTATGTTGCACATCAATTGCACTTCAAGTCTCATATAGCTGTAAAGTAGGAGCATGGATGTTGCCTCCAACACAAATGTTTCACGTCTACTCCGACAAGCTTAGCTAGAGTATACTCAGCCTCACAATGAAAGATTCTGGAGTGTCTTCTCAGAAAATAGCATAGAGTCTCACGTGAGGAAATGATGCTGTTTGTGCTCCCACAGCTCATCAAGCCCAACGAGCAGTAGCGACGTGCCATAGGTATGAAGTAGACTGCGGTAGTACTCAGCAGATTCACGATTAATTAGATTACCGATGACAGAGATGAGTACCTCTGCTGTTGAATGGTGATAGCACTACAATACTTAGTAGTAGCTGAGCAACAACTTTTTAAAAAGTTTATAACATTCCTTCTAGCTATTCTCGTTTGTTGTACGACCGTCCGTAATGCTGACGTGCTTCATTCAGACTCACCTATACATATTATCACGAACATTCTCAGCAACACGCTCGGGGCCACCTTCGAGATATTCAATTGTGTTGATACCGTTTCCATGAGTTCGTCCAGTAACGCAGACCACATGAGTGACGTTAAGTGTGGAGAGCTCCTCCTCAACCTAAATATTGGTATCAAATACAAAAACAGTATGAAATTTCTTTATTACAAGTTGGGAAGAAAGTTGAGGTCATTTAATTGAGGAAGAAAAAAACGAACATCAAGAAAATGAGCTGGAAATTCAGACATTGGAAATAATAACTTGCCAAAAGTACTACTCCTCGTAGTAATTTCATTTTAAAAAAGACTCTGAGGATAGCACTACTTTAATGGTGCAAAGTTATCGTCATTTAACGTAGCACCTTCTGCAAACTCTTCAAATAAGTTCAAAGATCTCTGAAGACGCGCAAGTCATTTACTTGTGTACGAAGGGAATTCTTATTTTTACCGCTAATCTTATCCTTAGCATTATTACTACTGATATTTACAGCAATGTTGGTAAAACCACAACGTTGCTGAGATATTTGCAAAACTCTGGACCGCATGTGTCTATGATGGGGAACAAACGCGCTATTGTCCTTTCCGGGGAGTAACGCGTTCACCACCACACCATGCGGGTCCTTCGTTTCGCCTGTCTCTCAGCTATTTCTATCGATCTTTTTGCCACAGCAATCACCCGTCAGCGAGGTTGATCTGGGGAGCGCAAATCGGCATAGAACCCAGTTAAGCTATGGCTGTAGTTGAAATCACAATGTTTAACGTTTTCTTTTCTGCCTTCTATAATTTAGCTGAGAGAAATAGCTGAGAGACAGACGAAACGAAGAACCCGCATGGTGCGGTGGTGAACGCGTTACTCACCGGAAAGGACAATAGCGCGTTCGTTCCCCACCATGCACCTGCGGTCCAGAGTTTTGCAAATATCTCAGCAACGTTGTGGTTGTATTTCGCTTAGTAACCTGCCATAAAATTTATAGAAGGTAGAAAACAAAACGTTAAACAATGTTGGTAAAATTATTATATTTGTTCTTACTGGACATTTTCTACTTTGGCGAAATCCTACAAAGCGAATAATTATGTGCCTCACCTCGGCATCTGTGTTTACTCCGACTTTAGACTTAGCGAGAACGTATGGAACCTTTCTTGACTTTAAAACCTGAAACGAAAGGTTAAAAATCACTAGAACTAAGTATACTGCACTAGTTAGATAATGGTGTTTCGGCGTTGATCTATCCGCCAAGAATGTTTCATGCATTGGACTCCATTCGTAGTGTAGTAGTGGTCCTTCAATGGCAGATTTGGATAACGTAATGTCTTACGGAAAAACACCGATGTATTGAGATAATGTTCTCATTCTCCCGGACAAGTGCAGGATCAGTTGGTAGGCCTAGGAGGAATGGAAAGCTTAGCTCAGGGCGCGGCATTCATCCGAGACTATATGAGTGTTGTCGAACACCACAAACCACTGCGTTAAACGAGTTCCACTGCATAAGTAGCTGTAGTAAATGCATAGTCATTATGAAAATGCCCCATTTTTTCGATGGAAGATAGAGCACATTCACTGTTTATGTTACTATGCATCATGTATTTCATTCATCATGCAACTTATTCAAATCTGACCTCTTGAAGTGCTTGTCCAACGAATCCTTTTCCTCCATACAGAGCAACATGCATTTTGATGCTACTCTTCATTTCTAGTGCAGACGCCACCGTCTTCTCCAAGCCTGAACATCAAAACCTGTATAATAAATAGGAAGATAAAAGTGGCACTCATGAACAAAGGATAAAGTTGTCGGCGTTGATCAATCCTTGAGGGATACGCCATGCATTCGACTTCATTAAGCATCGTTGGAGATGATTCAATGCATATGTGATCTTTACAATAAATCACGAAGACCTACCGATGTATCGAGCTAGTGCTGCTATCCTCCCAGACAGGTCTGGTACCAATTTGGCGACCTCGGAGGGATGGAAGGTTTGGTGAGCCATGGGAGCGGGGATCGATTCCACGTGTGTTTTGCAGAGCGCCTCCTATCACTGGGCCACACGTGCCCCATTAATAGAAACTACTCTATACTTAACTTCTTCTGTAGAGAGAATTAACTTTCAGCAATATAACAGTGTAATGTATCTCTCTTAAAGGAGTCTCCAAATTTAAAAGAAATGTATGATTTAATGGATCACTGAATCCATCCTTCATTTTTGCCATGTATTAATATAGAATACGCATACCTTTTTCGAAACTGATCTGAGGTGTCCAGTTAAGATCTCTTTCGGCTTTCGTAATATCAATGAGGTATCGCATGTCATTGTACGGGCGGTCGGGAATCGAAACGAAACGTGGTAAACTCGCTTCACGACCAAGTTGTCTATCAACTTCGGCTTGGATAGCATATGCCAGATCCACAACTAAACAATATTTCTTTTTCAAAATTAACTCTCTTTGAAGAGGATGAGAAACAGAAATTCACAAAAACTAGCATAAGATGGTTGGGGTTAACAAATCTGGTAGGTAACGATTATCATTAATGGTTCATTTTGTTCTAACGCTTTCTAAGCATTGGTTTCTCTACGCTTAGATGAACATTCTTGAAGTAAACGATAGATTTTCGTTGTTAAAATGCTTTAATGCGCTGGACTAATCTTATCCATAACCGAATTTCTATTAACCTACCTTTACATTCATCAAATCATACAGTGTTTTCTCAATGAGCATACATGAGTTTGTTAACAACAAGATTTATTTAGTACAATACTGGCTGACGTTTCAAGGTTCCGCCTTCTTCATAGCCTAGAAAGGTCGGGTTGATAAGCAATCTACTCAGCCAAACCCCTTCATAACCTTAGCAAATAAAACTTAGTGCGAAAATGTTTACTGACATAGTGAACAGCTTCTCTTAAAAAGCCGTCGTTTTGCTCTTCAACTGGAGTGCTTATAGGCAAAGAACGGTGAGCTTTTAAAAAAAAGCTGTTCACTATACGAATAACCATCTACGTATTAAGTTACATCTGCTAATTTTATGAAAGTGTTCCATGAGTGGACGGCGTGAAAATTTGACTCTTCCAAGCTCTGAAGAAGGCGAAACCGCCGGAACGCCACTATTGCACTCAATTATTTTGTTAAAAGCTTGTGTCTGCCCAGCAAGAAAACAGAAAACCAATTTCGTTCTAATCTAAAAGTTTTAAAAAGTTGGCGTTTAAAGCTGAGCTCTTCCTATAGAGTGTTTTATTTGATTCTTTGAAATAAGTTAATCTAAGTTCTATCACTGTGACCGATACGCTCGATAAGAAACAAAACCAACAAGTTACACAAAAACAAACATCTACCTACTAACCATTTTTCTCAAAATATGTGCCGAGATTATACACTTCGCCGATTTTTCCTTGTTCACATACTTTCTGAATTGCGGCACTGGCGTCGTCGACGTATAGCCAAGATCTAAATTGTTATTAATTGGCTTCATCATGACGGAGTGTTCAATCCAGTCTTCTTAACTTCGTGATTTTGAAGACCAACATCAGGAAACGTAGGTGGAGTTCTTACAGAAATACTTAGCATATGCATGTCAACCTTACTAATTAAGCTCTATTGACAGTACTATTGAACGTGTATAGTAAGTGTAGACCTCATTTGTTTTCCAGATCCTTGTATGGTGTATTGACCTCGTACCTTAGCAATTTCGATGAATCTCGGAACAACCTAAACATTAAAAACACACTTTATATAGCGTTTTTTGTTGTTTTTCAACACATTTAAATATCTTAATCTTTCTATTTACTGCTTACTATAATTTTTAACGGCAGGGTATCAGGGTATCATGCCAGCTAGGTGCCTGCAGTGGTGGAACGAACGCGCTATTGTCCTTTCCGGGGAGTAACGAGTTCACCTCCACACCATGCGGGTCCTTCGTTTCGCCTGTCTCTCAGCTAGTTCTATCGATCGACGCCATGGTCTAGAGAATTAGCTGAGAGAGGCGAAACGAAGAACCCGCATGGTGTGGTGGTGAACGCGTTACTCCCCGGAAAGGACAATAGCGCGTTCGTTCCCCACCGCAGACACCTGCAGTCCGGAGTTTTGCAAATATCTCAGCATCATCTTCGTTGTATTTCACACTTAAGTATGTTTCCATATGTTTCATCTCGTTTTGAGTCTGACCTAATGCAAAATACAAAAATTCAATGTGATACATAAAATAAGTTGGTATAGGTGTATTAAGGTGAGCATTTGAACATTAAATAATGAAGAAAAAAGACAACAATGCTGATTTCAAAATCAAGACTGGATCGTACATTTAGCTTAGCTTTGATGTCGTCAGTGCGCTAAATCAGGTAACTGCTAAGTCTTCGGTTGAGTCTTTGCGGCTACTGGCTTTCAGCGTCTACCATTGGACGCTACAGCTCTATTTTTAGCCCTCGTACGCTGTGCATTGAAGTCAGTGCTCACAACGTATTATGTCTTTCTAATACGGAGACGTTGGTTCACCTCTTAATTAGTGATAGTCTCTGAGCCATTCCGTTGGAACGAAGGCAAGGAATCGCATCAGGACTCACATATTTGTATTTTTGCAGTTGAAATATCTCAGCGCCTTCCTCACTTATGGTACTATTGGAAATATCTTAGGACCATGCTAACCATCAGAAATCTCTACGAGGTTAACGGCGAACAAACTCGTTCGAAAGACACTTTCTTTAAAATTACAACGTTTTCAAAATAGCATTTATCCAAGCGTGCTCTGCATGAGATCAGTGGTGACACAGCTGTCAAATGGACACAAAAATAGCAAGGTAGATATAACAGAAGAGAATTCATTGATAGCAGTGCTCATTTTTCACCCCATCTTTTCATGTACGACTTGAATTCAATGCGAGCTGTCATGAAGGCGTTAATCGCGTTAATCGCCTGCATCACGACATGTCGAATTATTTTACGTACCTTTACATCCCACTGATTCGGTCCATAGATGTTATTCAATCGAGCAATAATACATGGCATATTGTACTGTGCCATGAATACTCTTACGTATGCCTCACCAGCAATCTGAACAGTGTTCTCTAATGATTGAACCCATTAGAAATGTAGAAGCTCTAGAAAAAAAGAAAAAAAATAATTTCCTGTGTAAATCACTGTTTGTTCGATTATATGTTTTTCTTAATAAATGAGACTCGAAATTGTTGAAAGCCGTTATCTAGAACATTGCAAAAATCACTCGCCCAGCTAACTACCCTCCAGTAAAAATGCATTGTACCTTTGTAGCTGCATAGGGATTTCCGGGTAGGAGTCGGCTTTCTTCTAATTTTCCAACTTCATCCTCACCTAGGTCAGAGTCGCCGTACACCTATGACTGTCAATGATAGAAGAACAAAAAAGGAACTGATTATCTTAAAGGAAAACTAAAACACTTTTAACACAACTCTGTTCAGCGCAACAGTTTGTTCTGTGGAAACAACATAACCTTCACAGAAGCTACACTAGTTTTGAAAGACAAAGACTTATACCTCATCTGTGCTAATATGAACAAATCGTTGAACCATTCCGTAATCGCGAACGACTTCAAGAAATTCAATGAAAGCGATGACATTGTTTTCTATTGCTTCAATAGTTTCGCTGTAGCATCGAGTAGACGTACAGTCGGCAGCAAAGTGAACTACTGTGTCAATCTGTAACAGATCACCACCACTTATGTAGACCATGCGGTTTCTTCTATGCAAAAGCTATATTCTAAATAGTTTGAAATCTATGAACCGAATTAAAAACACCTTTAGAAGCTTTCCAAAGGGTGGAATAACACTTTAAAGCTGATGAAAGACTGGCATTGCCTGCATGTCCAGTAAACCAGGTAATGAGCCAGTGATTCAAAGTGAGCGGCCAACGTTGACCACTTTCTCAGAAATGTTGTATGCATTCGATTCCAGTATGAATTGTAAAGTTGAATGAAGGCATATTTGAGCTATACAATGGCTTACGGTGTGCTACGGATGTTTCTAGTCAATATTTCTACCTTCCCAATGAAGTACTAGTTTGTCCACCTCGAACCGACGAATGGCTTGAAGGGTAGCGGTTGGCATAGAGCAAATGTGACCACATATGTATCGTAGGGCATTTCTAATCAATGTCGTACATGTTTCAACGGACAAGAATAAAATCTCCACTGGATTCTGTAGCTCGTGTCAACTGTTAGTCAGTTCCGATTGTTTATGATACACGAGGAATATCACATGTTTTCGTTTCAGGTGCTTCATTTTTACTACTTTCCACAGGCTCATCAAGACCTTCATCCCTCCGGCGTCGACAAATTGTTACCAAACTTGTCCGGGATGACAGCAGCACTGACGCGATACAACGGAGCCTACCGCGAGTCATTGTATAGACCAGATGTGCATTTATTCACCTTCACCAATGCATGGTGAAGTCGAATGCATGACGCATCTCTCAGGGATTGATCAACGCCGACGGCTTTATCCTTTATTTATGTTTGTAGGTGTGCGGCGTGCTAGAAAGCATGCATAAATATGATTGGTAGTGTGCGGAAGGAAGTCATTTAAGGACAGAAGAGATAGAGAGTATATTGCCTGAGTCTAAATCCATCTGCATCGCAGTGCAGATAGATGATCGCTTTGGTCCACGTTCAATCTACTAGTACTTGTCGACTAATCAGTTTAAACAGCTTTGCACGATCGATATCAGTACAAGCAATAAAAGCAAAAGCGTAAAAAATTCTGAAGGCGAAAGTCATTTGAGATTAGGCTAGAATTGAAAACAAACCTGATTATCATCTAAGATTGTCGCCATTGCTCTCCTGTTTTTGATGTCGGCTAGAACCAGTTTATAACGTGGCGAATTGCGCACCTAAAATTCGCAAACTACTATTTTGGTAAACAGACTCTCTAAATTGCTCATTTCTTTATTGCACAGTCGTGAAAAATTCCTTATTGCATACCCATCCTGTTAAGTCTCAAAAGCATGAATGCCTAAAAAAGGAACTGAGTAAAACAGAATTCCTTCTGCTATACATGACAGCACCTCGGAGAAACAAAGAGCTCAAACATTTTAAAAAATTGTGGAGTACAGGAAAGTCCGGTATTTACTTCTCTTAAAAAGGGAACTGCTAATTCGAATCTCGTCTTGAGTTGATTTATGGCTTCCTCGTTACGTTTTTAGGATAACGAAAATTCCTCATTCAAGATGTCCTCTAACTGCGTGGTAGCTTAAGTTAGTCGTTGAAAGAAAAAAAATGACAGAAAAATTATTTAGGGACCTCTAGAAGGTAACGTCTTAGTATCGTTTTTTCTAGAAATTTCCAATGCAGCTTGATAGTTCGCATTATCAAGCAGAGTTTAATAATAACAGTTTTCAATAAATTGAGATGCAATTTAAGATGCGTAGACTCATAACACCATTTTAACAATTTTTGTTGTTTCATAAAAAATTGCTTATTTTTAATTTAACTGAAGAATTTAAGTTGCTACCACTCGTGAAACCTCCCCACGGATTACCGCCTCATCGTGACTGGAAGGTGCTGCTAAGTGTTGTGATGCGATGTACAGCCGGAGATTCAGCTACGTCAGAGTCTCCAAGCTCAGAAGGAGTTCGGTGTTTTCCCCAGAAAGCCTAGCTAAGAGTAAACTAACACAAGGATCCACCACCGTCCTTGTATCAAACTAGTCGCATGATGGCAATTCTCCCTCTGATCCACAAGTGCGGCGACTGCCAGCGGTGCTGACGACCTAGGGCAGACTTTGGTCTCTCTAACCTCAGAACTCCAGGGAACCACAATGGATAAACCCGCAAAACTCCGAAAAGTGGACGTTATACTGGGACCTGCACACCCATTGAGGACAGGCCGTTCAAGTATCCATGTAAGTAAGCACAATTTATGGAATCCGGATTTGTTCATCTTCACCGTATGCTCATGGATACGGTGATGCATACATCCAGAGTAGTACTTCAGTTCAATTCACCTAACAACATATAATCAATAAACTATAAATAAGTGGGAAACCATTTGGGTTCGCTTCGAACATCATCAGAACTCGATAGCCCACTCTTGAGCATACCGACCCAGTTATGGCACACCCCAACTAACTGCGCTTGCGTACTCTTTGGATGAAAGCATTGAAAATATAACGGCTTTAAACGAAAAGTGCTACTCCACTCATATTCCTGGATTTATCTCTACCCGCTTAGTGGAAAGGTCCGGCTCGCTACAGTGAAGAATGGGTACTTGAATGGCATCTGCTTAATTCAGTAGAGCGGAAACAAAAAGCCTGACACTTCTGAAGTTATACACTCTCCTAACAGGTTTTGGTGACAAGTTAACCACTGGATGTCTTCAGACTCTGTCTTGGCATAGAGCTGTTTACAGCTAAGCTTTCTTGTTGGAAATATGAAACATTTCAGTTTCGCTACCCTTACATTCAATCTCCAGCACTAAATCGCTATTCGACACACAGAAATCACCCCCAGTCACAATGAGGTGATGAACCTTTGAGGTCACAGGTGATAGACACGGCTATATAACAAACATTACAAATTCCGTCGCAATTTTTACTAATAATATCATTATTCGTATATAATGCTGAGATATTTGCAAAACTCCGGACCGCAGGTGTACGCGGTGGGGAACGAACGCGCTATTGTCCTCATCGGGTAGTAGCGCACATCACCACCACACCACCCGGGTCCTTCGTTTTATCATTAGTATCATTATTATCCCTAGTAATTTCTACCAAGGCACGTACACTGTGCGATAGGGTATGAGTAGCAAAAAAGGTTGCTCTGTATAATCAATAAGAGAAAGGCAGAACGAGAACCTCAATGGTGCAGTGGGTAACACGTGACTAGACAATCCCAGAGAGCAGTACCTTTTCGTCAACATTCTGTGTGTCGCTGTTCAGGATGAGTTTATCAACATTCACAAATCTGCAACGTGGCCATTCATTGTGGATAAAATTGACGAAATTCGAGCCAATAAATCCGCATCCACCAGTGATCAGCACGTTATGCGGCTCGTATCTCATCCACTGCAAGGTAAGCATGGCGTAGTTGGGAAATAATTTACTATCTGCCATGAAAAGAATCATTTGGATGCAACTGATTATCAATCAGCAGACGATTTCCGAAAACTCAATTAGCTCAGTTTCGATTAGTTGAATAATGAGAAAGTTCTGGACGTTGAATGGAATGAATAGACATGAAGGGCATGAGAAGGACGGTGCTGGACAAATTCATTTAAGTAGTACTGCCATATGCACTCTCCACTAATACACTAGATCAAATGAGCCTTCTTAAAGGGATGAGAATACTGCAAAATTGTTTGGAACCTTTATCTAAGATGAAGCAACTAGGAACTTAAACGTCCCTAACCACTTTTTCAGTTCAGTGTTCACGGATTTCTACCTATAGAGAAAATGTGAATGAGTAGCCGCAAATAATTGCTACCAAAGGATTTGGAAAGAGAAACGTCAAGCTATATGTGGAATATTTGGATCGTCCGGAAGAAATTCTGGCAGAATTTACAGTGATAAATCAATGAAAGGTTTCATCAGAGAATAGTAGATATCATCAGAGGTATTTATCAGAGGACGAAAAAAGACTAGTGATCGGCGATTCTGGTCAATACGCCAATAAACGAAATAGAAAACATTAGCTAATAAAGTTACAAACATAGCAAATAGCCCAACGGATCCGGTCGACTTTGAGGCAGTCGTGGAAGTGTGGCGACAAACAGGTCAAGGTCCAGACGCCTTTCGTTTGATCGATTACATCTGAACAGCAACTATAAGAAAGTGTTGTGATGCTTCCCTCATGCTACTTTTCATGGTTCATCAACAATATAAGAAAGAATTCCAAGAAGATTTCCACCATACCAAATCACAACAGTGAGTTTCGTGCCGCTTTACATAGTGAATTGGAATGAACGCCGTTCTTCTTCGCTTACAACGTCGTAAGGTTCAATAGAAAATGAAAGACTGATAGTTTACTTCACAATGGTGTAGCGATAAAAGTTATTGATTGACAGTTGCACCTGTACGATTATTATTCAAGGGCTCCGGGGTAGTTTTCAATAACTGTATCTGAATTACGAAATCTCTTTGATGATAACGGGCGTGTGTTGCGTAGTGGTTGGAGGCACCTCCTAATACACACATGGAATCGATCTCCACGCCCAAGGCTCACCAAGCCTTCCATCTCTCCGGGTTCGGCAAATTGGTACCAGACTTGTCTGGGAGGATAGTACCACTGGCTCGATAGATCGGTAGGCCACCGCGAGTCACTGTATAGGCCACATAGCGATTGATCTTGACATAACCCTCAGCGATTGGTCAACGTCGAGAGCTTTTTTCTTGACGTTTTTTCTTCATCCTTTCTATAGAATTGCAATAACACATCAAACATCTACCAATGTAAGAGTTAATAGAAAGTCAAACTTGGGAATTTCTGTTCACTGATTCATACGCAATCGATTGCTTACCAAGAACATTATCCCGAAAACTGAAGACGTCAAGAAAAAAGCTCTCAACGTTGATCAATCGCTGAGGGATATGCTATGCATTCGACTTCATTAGGCACCGTTTGGAGGTGATTGAATGCACATCTGGCCTTCACAATGACTTGCGGTGGCCTACTGTTGCATCGAGATACTGCTGTTATCCTCCCAATCAAGTCGGGTACTACTTTACCGACCCCGGAGAGATGAAGGCTTGGTGGGCCATGGGCGCAAGGCTCAATCCAATGTGTGTTACAGGACTTCTCTAGCCACTGCGCCACACGCGCCCTTAGGGAAACTATAGTCGACCGATATTTCTTTCTTCTATACAACTGTTGTTTGAACGAATGAAAAATTTCGTTAAATAATATAAGCAGTAGTGAAATGGTATCTACAACATCATATTTTTATCTTCTTGGATTATCAAACTAACATGAGGTTGATAAAAGGCCTCCTCAACTAACTCCTGACGTCTTCGTCTTCTTCAGTGCAGTGTTGATCCAAGTCGATGACTTTCAATGATTCACGGGTGGTCCTCTTCGCAATGTTGGTGCTCGTCGTCTCATTGAGCCAATGGAGGTGGACCGATCGAATAGTTCACTCCGCACAGTGGTGCACTTTTACACAGCAAAGGTTTTCATCTATTGACGCCTTCAATATGATCTGCTTTAGAGAGGCAGCAGAAAAAATTCATATCTTTAATTATTTCTATGCGTTTGTGAACTGATCTTATTGAGCAGATGCGAGGTTTGTATAGGTTGTTGTTGAACGAAAGCTGGCGTTTCGGAGATTTCGCCTTCCTCAGAGCTGTGCTGTTACTAGCGTAACCAATCACTCAGTTCCATTTGTAGTCATAGTTTCAGTTGGATGTGTATAATTCAAAATGATAGATCTTAACATGAACAATACTTGAGCCCTAGGGATAGGGTAGTCGCGGTTTCGAAGCTCATCTGGTGCTCCGAGTTTTTCAAATATCTCAGCACAGTAGTGTTTAAACTTCATAAACTACCCTGCCACGAAAAAAAGAAAACATTTAGTCGTTTTACTTATGTCGTTCTTGGCGAAGAGATGATCATTACAGCAGCTGACCTGGTTCTGCTCACGCATTAGTTTGTCTTATCTACACATTCGGATGGGTGACTGATGTGGTCAGCGTTGTATACCACGGTGTACATTTATCAAAATTGCACTGTAAATTATAAAAGGCAAAAGGACAGATTCCATTTCAAAATCGATCAATTCTTCTAGGATAGGACATAGATTCCCTTCATTTTAGACGTCACTAATTGCATCGTTGGCCTACACATTGATTTTTGGAGACTCTTCGATAATCCCGGTGGGATGACGGTTTATTTAGACCGAAAAGTACGCTCAAGTCCGGAGCCACATGTACAGCGCAGCGCACTTTTGACCACGGCAGACTCATGTTGCAGATGTAAATATTGATGTAATAGCGATTACATAAGTCTTTCGAAATTCTCGTCCATTAGTGACCCCGTGAGGCAGGGATATCACAATGGTTAGTGTTAAAATTGATCAGGAAGCAAAAGGTGCCAGTTCGATTCTCACCCCATCGCACTTCTCCATTCCAGGTGGAGACGCCTTAGGCCGGTTGTCTCCAAGAATGCAAGGAGAATTGAATCGACCAGCATTCTACGATATTCATAAGGAAAACGAAATCCTCAAGCAGCAGCTGAAACAACATGCGAGATGTTCGAAAACCGTTGTGGACAATTAATGCGAGGAAGACCAGTCGAATGCAAGAAATGCTGCTGTCCTCACGGTAGACGTGATGACGGTTCACATGAAACTAAAATAGAAGTTACCATTTTGAAGTTAACATTAAGGCATAATGAATAGTATGAAGAGTTTTTGAGAACCTTTCCTTCACCATTCGTTAACTTTGTTATCTCATCTGAATTTCTTGTGCCAAATCTTTAGTGTAATTCATCTTCTAACACGAAGAACAAGGTAAAAGCTTTTTCTCAATCTGGAAGTTTCTCTTTTTTTTATTTTATCTGTAGGGTGACCATCTTGCTTCAGTACCTTTTAAAAATTACCTTGTTGAACAGATGGAGTCAGGTTCGACTACCGTCGCAGATCACCGTAGCTTTTATTATCCTTGCGCTTAAGGGTTCATTGAATTCCCGACTACAAACGGTGAAGCAGTAATTTTCTCATTGCATTAACCTTGCGGTAGATTTTATAATATACGGATTTTTATTGATTACTCTTTTGGGCACTGGCTAAGTTTAAAAAAAAACAAATTCACAAAGAAATCAAATGTATGGATTCGATCATTGGCATGGATTTTTTTCATCCGTAGACATTTTCAGTTCGCCATGGTGTGTCCGCAGTTTCGTCCCATGTTGTCATTTTATCACAGCGTAACAACACTTTTCTGTTATCGATCTGTTATCTTTGCAACTCATGTTACGCCACTGTATTTGGCCTTTACAGAGCATTTTTCAGATGATTAGAACTTTCTACCATTTTTCAACCATTCTGGGTTTTTTCGTTGAAGTTTTAATGCAACTTTCCCAAGATGTCTCTGGCTAATGCGAACGTAATGGGAATTTCAATGAAAATAATGAGTTGAATTTCTTAAATGTGCTTGTCAAACCTTAAGAAATGAGCGATATTACTGAAGGAGAAAAAATATTTTCTGATGTATTCCGCTTCCGAAAGGGTGAATGTCGCTAAAAACACACCTTGGTAGGGTATGATGAGATAGATAGATGGTATGACGGAGATTTTTCAGTGAGTCATCATGTTATGGAAGCTTCTTGTCGCATTCCTTGCTTCCAAAAGAGAATTTCGCCAACTTTTTTTCCTAGATGTTCTTCTCCGTAACGTAAGGTTCCTGAGGGAGTGCCGTGCATTCTACTCGATTCTTGGCATCATATAGGTGACAGAATGCATACTAGGCCGTAATTATATGAGTGTACCGATTTATTAAGCAGACAATTTTATCCTCGTAGACAAATCTATGACCGAGTTGCTGGTGCATGGGATATCGAAGGCCTTGTTGACGCCGAGCGAAGAATCGAACCAACGACCGAGTGCGCATTGTTAACAATCTCTCACTAACCGCAACGTCGGACGCGCTTATTTTGCAGAGGTTAAGGTAGTGTTGCTTAATTTTCTTTTCCACGACCCTACATTACATTTTGTGCGAATCTAAGCGCTTATTGCATTCGATTTGCTTACTCCCATCCGTAATCCAAGAAAATTTTAGAACTTTTGAGTGTGGCTTGGGCTGCCGCTCGAAGATTATGCTCTTCGTCGTGAATGTAAATAAATGCCGGCACACTCTCAAGAATCCTTGGATAACATGCCATATCATTACTATAGCTATGCGCCAGCTTTTGTGGATTGCAAAGAACCAGATGTGCCATACGAATCAGTTGCCAATTTCTCGACCCTAGGGCGATCGACGGCTTGGTGACCCCGCGGCAGAATCGAACCAGCAACGTGCTCTTTATGGATGGTATCACTAGAATTGCTTTCTATCTGACTTTGTTTCTGAAA